CTTTTGTGTTTTTGCTATAATTTTTGGTGTTATTCGTACTCAACAACGTGCTAACGAGCGACTTATATCTGCTCTCTCGTCTTCTAGCTACAGATAACGTGTTAAGGTAAAAACTTCTACGAATCCCACACGTAACTAAAGTTTAAATATACACGAATGAGAGTAGTGTAAACCGACTTTTAGCCAGACTACTAATTTGAAACAAAATTAATTTGAAATTGAAATGGAATAATTTAAAGTCGTATGTGTGGCGTTGTACTATGAGACTCTCACAAGGACAATCGAGAAATTCGTCTGAAAATAGACCTCTCCTTTCACACCGAAACTTGAAAATTGGATTAATTTTATGTCAGAGCGTGTACTGATTCTTACCAGAAGCAACGCTTTACTGAACTGAAGTTCTGAAGAATCATCCCCAACGTCTATGCGAGTTAGGATCGGGAACATCACAGCGACCAGCAGGGTTACAACACCGATGCTGATCCACGTAACTCGAGCGTAGGGGTAAAGGACGGACTTCCACTTCGGTAGAGGCTTGGGAAGACGGGCCATGAACGCAAACGCTTCGGCCTGATGCGGGTACGTCGAATCAAATGCAATGTATCGATCAAGGACTATCGTGAAGTAATTGATTGTAATATTTTTTCCATGATAGGCTATTTCGGCCAACATTCCAGTCCACGTTCCGTTTTCAATTGATCCCCACAAACAATCAAAAGGTTCCATTTCCAAATTATAAGTAAAATTCAAATGAGAACTCACGATATCCAAAGCGTCTCTGTTAGAACCTACGCATGTGTCATTGTGAGGGTAAGGCAGAGCGTAAAGCTGAGGATAATCATCGCACCAGGATGCGAGTTGCAGAACGCTTCCAGAAAATGTTGCAAAACGATCAATGAATATTGACTCTTCTTTCTCAAAGCTTTGCACTTTCCATCGTCCGAGCAGTCTGAGGGAATTTCTTTGTAGGGGAAAAGTCGTATAAACCAAGCTTGTCTCAAAAGTTTTACTCGGTGTAATAATAACTGCAAATTTTGAACATTGTATTGCTTTGGTATCAATGAGTTTAGATAATTCTACGTCAGCGCTCAGGCTCAATACTACGAGTTTTTGTGGACACCACAGAGATGGCTTCTCTATTAGCTTATCAATTTTAAAATCATTTGAATCAATGAGCCAAATGACGGAAAAGTTCTTCCCAGTCTTTAACGGAAACTTCGTGGGATCTAATTCGTCTGTAGAAGTTTGTATAACAGTAGAGTCCAAAGTTTGCACTTCGTTCCAATAGACGTTAGAAGAATGAGTGTCATCAAAGATGAAGAGATCGTAGCCTTTGAGAGGACCGTCGAGCAGTTCTTGCAGCACCGAAGTTCCTTGAGCAGACCCGGGCAGTGAGACGCTGGACAAAACATTTGAATTGGACGTTACAAAAGGCCATAAGAGGACGAGGGGAAAAACAAAACTGAAAACTGTCAAGTCAATCCCGGGTCTCGTTTCCGTTGACATTTTCGTGATAGGAAACTCCTTATATTTTGTTTATTATGATTCCAAGAGTCACATTAGATAGCTGTGGTTTTAACCGAACGTTTATAAGTAAGATTGTCGGTACACTGCTGGCCAAGGCACTCCTGAGGCCACCGCCCTGAGGAGTATGAGCTGTCAAACATACATGCTCTCCCATAAAGGCTTACTGGGAATGTTATTCGTATTTAGTGGGCTCGGAGGCGTGCATTATTAAGTGTTGACTACGCGCTTCTTGGCCTGACTTCATATTTATTGGATGTTTGGGATAAAGTTTCACGATATGTGAGCCGTTCATAACATTCAACTCACTAATGTGCACCATGCAAATTTAATTTCGGCAATCTTTATTTTAATTACACGCATTCAATGGTAGTAATATAAGGATCAAATGTGTGTATGCGTGGGTACTTGGTCTTGCAAGACGTCCTTATTTATAAACTTAGGTGATAATCAGCGTACTGAAATTACGATGTTTTTAAATTTATGTGTAACATGAATAAGATAACTCTACGGAAATTTTGACCATAAAGGGCATAATTTGTTATCAAACATGTCTTCATGAAGGGATTTGGTCTCAATATACCAATTTGGTTACGTAGACTCAATGAGCTGAGACTCCACTTTCCATCATTACTGAAATCATAATGTTTCCAGAAGGAATAATTAAAGAGACAATTATAAATTTTCTAAAAGCATTTCTCTTGAATTTATAATTTATTAATATCTTAACACATTTTTCGAGTGTCCATGCACATTTTTATAAATACATGGTGCTCCTAATCAAACATGAGATACGCATTTTAATGATACAAAGTTCACATTGGAGGTAAAACTACATTCAACTTATGAATGAAAAACACATGGTTACGGCATTTACTTTGATAGGCTTTTGTTAGAGGGTATATTAATAAAAAAAATTTTCCGTCAAAGAACCGTGAACAACAACTAACATATGCTGAACTCGCTATGCCTGTAGACTGCACTGAGTTATTAGATAGCATTTTATATCATGACCTTTTCAGGCATAATCTTGAGAAGATTCATAATATTCGTCAATATTAAATTATATCTTGAGCTGATGAGTGGGTTGCAGCAAGGAATTGTTCTGTACATTTAAATTCTGTACAATCTTGGAGATAATTTGATGGATTATGTCCCGTAAAGTAGATCATTTTGATTAATTTTTGGGAATGATGAGTTTGTGAAGAAAATATAGGAAGGCTATATTGAAATAGACTGTAGTTTGACTAAAAGTACAATAATGTTTGTGAAACTGGAAAATCTTTGGGTGAATTCAGAAAATATTTCAGCGAATTCATACCTTAGTCTACCCTAGACATTCCCGTCAACTTACTTTTAAAATTTTTCGTCCAGTTATTCGAACTCGTGTATGATCAGCTTTATAATTTTCAGCATATTTTTGTTGCAAATTGATCTTTCATTGTTAATAAGGATTTAGGAAGTCTACCATGGAAGGAATCTCGGCTGGTTAGATAAAGTAGTATGATAAAGTAAGTAATTAGTATGATAAAGTAGTATGTTAAGGTAGTGGATTACAGAAAGGGTTGGGTATCTGCTAGGAAAACGAATGTTTCATGCAAACCTGTAGCGCCTCGACTGCATGGGCAGCTTCGTTGTCAACACTCTATTATGCAAAATTTTGAATCATTGCAGTCATTTAATGTAAAGGTTACGCTCGTACAATAACCGGGATTCGCGAGTGCAAAGTTCAATCAATCATCACATAGGTTCTCGTAGCACAGAACCAATATTTGCTGCAAAAATTCAGTGATATAGCGAATGCTTAATTCCTGTAATAGTCACTAACCATGCGAAAGTTTCTGAAAATCTGTAAATTTGGATTAATTCTCCTGAATGTTACGTGATGTTTTTGAATATTTATTTCTTTATATACCGAATATGGTAAATTAGACTACAGTTAACATTCAAGCTCGGCTGAAATTTGTCACTTATATTCTGGAATACGCGAATGAAATTTGTCACAGGTAGAGAACCCTCTGAATAAATTCATACGCGATAATAATAGGTAAAGGCACTCTACAATACAAAATTTTTTTATCTAAATAAAGCGAATAAAACTTAAAAGCCAAATGCTTATAATAAATTAAAATCTATTTTCTAAAAATAGTAGATTGATTGATGAAATTAACATGCGCTAGAAGCAAAATTTAGGAGCAGACAGAAAGAGCTTTTTTTAAACAATATTTTCTATTAGGATTGACACTGGATATTTTAGCCGTAAACCTCATTCATGATATGAATGATTGAAGAATGAAGAAGAAGAATGTTTGTAATCATATTTATCTACATCCGGAAAGTTGGGTGAATTTATTAGTAAATTATTACAACATAATGTATAAATACCACGTAACCAAATATCATTATTTATTTTGTTATTTATTTATTAAGGATTTTGATGCGGTTTGTACAATCGACTTCATATTGCTTAGTGAGAAGAAATAAATTTTTTTGGCCAAACATTGAATTTTGGTTGCATCACTTGCGTACTGATGTCGCGTCAGTTGCTACGCATCTCCTGCACGAAGTCAAGCAAGAGAAACTGAGAGGCTGGCGACAAGCGGCTACTGCGGAAGCGATCTTTGTCTGGAGGCGGCTGCTTCACGGAGAAGTTATCGAGAAGCCGCGGCTGGGTCACAGTGAGCTCATAGACCACCTCGTCGTCTTTGACTTCGGTTTTGGCCCATTGCAGGAATTTGATCAGGCCATTTTCCATCTCGTCCGGTGAGAAGTCAATCTTATTGAAATTTCTCTGAAATGACAAGTGCATGGCGTGAGATGATTGAATTAGAAATGTTACGGGACTAAACTTTACTTTCAACAATCAGAGCTCAGAAGATCATTCCCATGTACGCATTGATTCGTGGCACTTTCAGGTCATGACTATTCCCAGTCGTGCTTGAGTTACAGTTAGTTACGTGTCTGTAGCTACCTGAGGAGTACATGGCTCCTAGCTAGTACAAGAGTACATGATAATATAGAGTTTCTCAAGCCTGATATTCCAAACAGCAAACACTTTCACTTCGGGCGGAAGGATGCAATTAAGCGAAAAACTTCCATGAACACGCAGTTGCGACGAACACAGTTGGTACACGTTCGCCTTACATGTTACACGTTCGCCTTACCACAGCTGCATGCTTCAAAAAATTTTTGTGAATGAAATAGAGCCACATTTTGGCCCTGACGATTTCGAGTCACTTTATTCAACAAAGAAATAAAAACTACAATGTATCATTACAGTGCAGAAACCGTTGGGCAAGGTTTCCCTTGGGAAACGTGGTTATTACCTGGCAATAACAACAGACCTCACAAAAATAGATTCTCACCTTTTGCAAATCAGGCAGATCATCTACACGGAAGGACCGAAGGCACCACACAACGCCGCTTTTATCCCGGAAGCCGCACACCACACTCGGGATACCCACCGACCAGCACTGCGCCCACGCGTTGCGCATTGTGTACGGCTTCAGATATTGTTTCTCGGCGTCGAATTTCGGCATACCCGTTTTTTTTTTGTCCTTGGCGTCGACGTTTAGCTTGCCGGTTTGTTTTTTCTTTTTGTCCCTGGCGCCGGCGTCGATTTTCAGCTGGCACGTTTTGAGCTCGATCAACGCGGCAACGTTGGGATGCTGCTTAATATCGTCTGTGTAGAAGTCCTTGTTCATCCCGTCTACCTCAGCCTTGTACAGAAGGGTGTAGTGGTCTGGCTTGGACGACCGCTCTAATTCAAGTTTGGCTTGGACTACTACATAGTACGATTTATTCCCATTGTTTCCAGTGGAAGCTTTAGAACCTGAATAAAAAATTATTATTATTTCATTTTGTGTTCTGGTCAATCACGCATGACGGACGTGAAAGACGTGAGAATTTGAAAATATTTTAATTTTAAACTAGTTAGATAAAAACGATTAGGCATGGTGAGCTACAATACACATTTATGGTAGCATACTTCAAGAGCGTCTGTAGTTTTAAACTTCTGATTGGTAGCTTACAATCTAATAGCTATTTTATTTTCCTGCTGGGCGTTGGAGCCATGGGCTTATTTAAGAGTAAATATAAAACTTGTGACCTACGTCTTTGTCCCCGAAGCAATTCAGTGCAACTCAGTCCGTCTGGTCGTCATTCCTCTGGTCAAACCTGTCACGTGCGGTTCTTCGCGAGAAGTTCATGTTTGTAACTCGAGCGTCAAGTGCAACCTGAGACATGTTATTTCAGATAAAATTGTGTACTTCTCATTAAGCCAAATCACATCTTACCGTGCTCCATGCATCGCTCGAACTTGAAACCATAGGAACTGTCCTTCCGCTTATCTTCCTCTGTTCTTTCGCTGTTCTTCCGCTTTTTTCCGCTGACGCTTTTGTCTTTTTGCTCCTCCTTCTCGGAGGCCACATGGTACATATAAATTGTCTCGCCAATCCTGTAATGGAATCAGTTAAATTTTGGAAATTTTGTGACCAAGCCGAAAATGGATATTCCTCCAACGATGCCTACCAGCTAAAATAGACAAAGAATAACGTGCATGATCGAATATAATGAACCTCACTATCTTGAATGTACCAAATTGTAATTCATCAAGCTGTTACATCAACAACTCGAGAAAATACTCACTCCAGGGCATTTCTGAAAATTTTCGAGAATAAAAAATACATATATAGCAGTTTTCAATTTGAGATATTTTTATCGTCGGAGATATTTTAAATACAGTCATTATACGCTCAAATTACTTGGATGTGAGTAAACTGCAATATCTAATTATGAGAGAAAACTATCCAACTTTACTATACACTAATATTATCAAGTTATTCATATCGATTGGAGAAGTATTATTTACTTTCATCTAAATAATGTGAAAATAGTAGGGTAACATCGGGCAGCGAGCCCACTGCGGGTCACGGGCCCATAGCGGGTTTCTCGCTAAGTATGGCAGATATTGGTCCGTGTTCTCTACCGCCGGTCGACATGCAGTTTCACTGGGATGAAGTGTATGGATTTACGTTTTGCTAAGTGTTTGCGTTATTAAGTTATTTGTGAATAACTTTTTTAGCCCAGATAAAAATTTTATTGCTGCTAAACAAAACTGTTTTCGATTACTGTAGATGAAGCTTTTGAAATTACTGTGAATTATATTTTGAAAGTAATATTTATAGGGATAATTTTGAGTAATATTTATAGGGATAATTTTGGAGTGTTAACTGAGCATCCACGAGAGCAGGTTGTGTGGTGCCTAGAGCTCTTCGATTGCTTGTTGTTTGCTCTGTAGATTTCAGTCAACACCAATGAGCCAATTAAAAGTTGAGTTTTTATGGTGTTGGCTGAAATCACGATTAGGTACGAATTCTCTGCACATAATATCTGGATTCTGGACGAAACCGGAAAGAAGTATTTTCTGATCAACTAAATATATTTTTCTAGTCAATAATATATTTTTTCATGTCAAGGACAAATTTTTTTATATAAGGATAAAATAATTAATTTTTTTCAGGGATATATTTTTCAAGTCATGGATATATATTTTTATGTCAATGAAATATTTTTCTTCACGTCAGAGATAGATTTTTTAAGCCAGGAGTAAATTTTTTTTTCAAGTTAAGGATATGATTTTTTGAGTTGTTATTAAATGAATGAAAGTCATATTTTTATTATATTTTTCTTATTTTCAACTGTAAAGTGTTGTTTTATAATTTTTTAAAGAAAAATATTCAATTGTGATAGAGGGACCAAGGGTGGGCGCCTTGCCCCAAGCCCAGGGGCCCATTGCCCCAGGGGTGGGGCAATGGGCCCATTTTGACACTTTTTACAAAATAGTGTTTTATTAAAAATTGGTCATAGAATAGTATAGTATGTCTTCGGCATTGAAGAATGGGCCTGGATAGGCCTGTCGCCGATTCTTATACTTTTCTTGGCTGGAGTGGCCTTTTGATCAAATCTTTTCAACGGACGGTAGATTTAAAATCGNCGTTCATACTCGGAGCTTCAACGATGCTATCAGGGAGGCTGTTCCACATGTCGGTGACTCGAAACGAGAAGAAATGTTGTCGCATGGATGTGTTACAACGCAGTTTTTTTTAGTTTATAGCCGTGGCCCCTGGCATATAAGAATTTTTATCCACTCGCATGCGCCGCCCTGTCCCGAGATTCGAAAAAACTGTCATTGATCCTTATGACCAGGTCGCAATCTTTCATATGTTGTTCATACGTTAAGCATGGTATACGGTGACAATCGAATCGAAATTCGAAAAATTGAATCGAAAGAGTGATTCATTAAAGGTTTAATTTCATTCAACACTAACTTTCTATGTTGAACTCCGCTTACTTGTAACCGTTATTTTCCAGTCATCTCTCTAGTAAACCTATGAGTCTTGGTGTCGATAAATTTCAGGGGCATTAGTCTTAGTGGCATTTTACACCGGTAGCAATCCGGTGTAAAATTTTCATTTTCCTTTTATTCGCACTTATTGAAATTTAATAAGGAAGTATCGTCATCACAAAAAGATAAATAGTGGATTGTGTCCTGAAAAAGACCATCTGGCAACCTTGGCATACAGTTCGATTGGTACTCACTTGGTGGCCTGCAGTACCATTGGTACTCACTTGGTGGCATGCAGTACAATTGGTACTCACTTGGTGGCATGCAGCACAATTGGTACTCACTTGGTGGCATGCAGTACAGTTGGTACTTACTTGGTGGCATGCAGTACCATTGATACTCACTTGGTGGCATGCAGTACAATTGGTACTTACTTGGTGGCATGCAGTACAGTTGGTACTCACTTGGTGGCATGCAGTACAATTGGTACTCTACAATTGGTACTCACTTGGCGGCATGCAGTACAATTGGTACTCACTTGGTGGCATGTATTACAAGTAGTTCGTCCATCTGCGGATAAATGGAAGTAAGAAGGTATCGCATCACGCGGCGGGTCGTCACAAAGTGAGGCTTCGGACTCATGCACTCGGGGTTCTCCAAGATCCATTGCTGCAGATTCTTCAGGCTGTCATTGTTGTCATCCTTCATATCCTCAAGCTGAACTTCGTTCAGGTCCATTCGTGTCTTCAAGTACTTTGAGGGAAATTTGAATTAGAGCATTTTCATAATTTCCTTAATGGAACATAATGGGACTTGGCCCATGCATGGATGCCCAAGCACTCATTTTGGTTTCATGTACCAATTAGGTTTCATGTACCGACGTTTTTATCGTACGCAAGCATGGTTCTCTACTTTCTCCCATTGTCATGGTCATGCATATAAACTGGAAATTATAGAGAGGGCAGTCGAGAAATGTCAGACTATCACTACACCCTTTTCCGATATTTCTTTCAACATTTCGATGATATCTCGTCAATATAAAAAATTATTTGCAAGCAATTTTTCCGAGGGAGATAAATTTATGACGTGGGCTTTGTAGATATGTTGTGAACGATGTTAAACCTAACACCCAATTGTCTATAGCGGATGCAATTCATTTGCAAATGAATTAAGGTTGCAGTTAAAAGTACCAAGACTGGGGCAGTGAGTTGAGGGTTCGATCCCAGCTACCAGCGATAGTTCTGTCAAATCGGCGAGGAGGCCGAGCGGTTTATAGTCACAGCAAAATTGAAGCCATGAGTCGCGTGTTCGAGACCTCGACAAGGTATGAATATTCTACGATATTAAGAATCAGTTCAGGTCTAAAGGCTAAATAAACCTGACATCACTAAACTATACTACTATAATATGAAGTTCAAACTAATTTTTGAGTAATTACGAGCCTTGAAATGCGCGTCGTTCAGGAGAGATTTTGATTTTACATTACTATCCATATTCTATTCACAGTTATTTTACCTTTTTTCCGGACGCTTTTACCCAGCTCATGTCGATCTTTGCGCAGTTTCTTCCATCAAACGCCTGGTCTTCGCCAGTCATAGAATAGTGCCCGATGATTGTAGGAGATAATTTCCGACGAACTGAAGTGCCCGATGATTGCATCGCGGACGAACTGCACGTCAAATACACAGGATACGTAAATTAGGAGCCTAATGCCTACAATTCAGGGGTATCAGCAAGCTGCTGATGCATTTCCACACATATCCATGAGAATACCAACCCGCCATGCTATATATTGCCATTGATTCGCAGTTGATCGTTTGGTTATAAAGAATGGGACTTGCTTTTTGTTCTTAGAGTGCTTCGATGATAAAAGCTTCTATTTCGTAGTTTCGTGGCACGGTGATGAGTAATCAGTCTGTTCAATTTATTCATCACTCATTTCTGGGATGTTTTTGGTACAAAGATCGCAGCAGACAACAAAGTCTGCTGCGACAATATTTCTTCAACCATATAAATGAATATAAATGATTTCAAAAATCCTCCTAGGATTTTCAGTAATTTGAAAACTTACGGTGAATTCAGTTAAACAGCGGTTGGGCCAAAAAGCATCACACCACGATAGGTAAAGTACCAAACTGGATACGGATTCCGGTATGAATATGATGTAACGGACCGTTCTCTTTCGTTTTGGATTCGCGGTACGTAGACCTTTACTGCCTCACGTCCACTCCGTTTGAACCACTCCCGAGATTGAAAAAAGAAGTGGAATTATGCCAACGCATCTTATTCAATGAGTTTGATATGTACATATTCTTAGCTGTTTTAGGAGGATTACCACTCTACAAATGAGCGACAAAGTTGCATCTTGTCTTCATTAATTAGTAAAATATATTTAGATAATTAAGACGGATCTAACTATTGTATATCATACCTATTGTATTTTTCTTTTCAAATATAAGAAACATCGGATTACAGACCATGTCTGTATACTCTGGAGCAAAAAAATGATACTGAAATCGTACTTGGGAATGCAGCGCGGCTGTGATGTATGTAGATCGTTGCAGTATTCCAGACAATCATTGTGTATATTCGACTGACCTGAGCGATTTAAATTGTTAAGAATTTATTTATGATATTTTGTTTGCCATGATTTATGGAGTTGCTGGTCTTTAGATGTTTGAATACCTATGTATCGTGTATGAATTCCTCGTAATTAAAACTAATTTACGGTTCGAAACAGAGAATGACAAATTTAGACGCTTCCTATTCCAGTAGTACTCAAGAATGAAATTTGGCAACAAACTGAAATTCCGCAAGATTAAGTTTGACATGATATCAGTTTTTTCTAACTTTTTGAAAATGGTTTTGATGCAACTAATTTTCATGTGCAAATTTAATTCTCTTTTGTTGTGTGACTCCGCTAATGAGTGCAAATACCAGACAAGCTGTGCGTGAAGTATCTAACCAGAACATGGTTTTGTAACAAGACCATTAGCGGTTATGGGAAGTCTATAAGGCGGTTTAATTGCCGAACCGAAATGAGAAATGAAAGTCAAAATATGGACAACACGGAGAGAATAACTTGTATTTATCTATTCTTGATAATTCATTTTTGGAAGTAGAGAAAATTCAACTAAGTTTGAGTTCGTGAAATCATTTAAATTTTGAGTCATTATAAGAAGAGATGTCAAAATTGAACTCGAACGATCAATCAAATTTCGATCTAATTTGAGTAAATATCTTACCTGTTGACAGTCCCAGACGAAGATGCCATCGCGATGACTAATCAATATTTCTACAGAGTTTATCTGAAACATAAATTCAGCGATTCAATTTATATAAACTATTGCAAATGGCGTAGTCAATTTTACGCTATATCAGTTTGAATATTTCAGGACCAACGTGTTCCCTCCTCACATTTTACATTCGCTTCTTGCATTTTTATTATTTACGGGCAAAGCGAAGAAGCAAATGTCTGCAAGACGCCTAGCAGAGCGACAATATAAATTCTAAGGTAGTCTTCACCGTGTTAAATATTATAATGATATGCGTTTAAAAATTACTTTTTAAAGACAACACTTTTAAAGAATCTAGTGTCTCCGATGTTACGCATGTACAATGAATTTATAATTTTATTTTAAAATATTAAAAAAAATAAAAATTTTTTCATATGTAAGAAAATTTAAATTTTCAAAATTATTTATTCTGTAAGTTGATTCATGTATTGTCTCCGACTTTGCGCAAGTGTAAAAATTTCAGATCGATTGGACAGGTAGATGTGTGTTAAATATCAATTATAATATTTGTAGCAGACAAAATTATTTGTTCAATTTTTTAATATTAAAAGAAAATTCTTTACATTTTTAAAACTATTTATTCTATCAATTGATTCATGCATTGTCTCCAACTTTACGCAAGTGTGCAAAATTTCAGATCGATTGGAGAGGTAGAATTGTTTTAAACATCGATTATAAGATTTGTAGCAAACAGGCAAACAAATAACAAGAAGTGAAGTTAAGAAGTGTTGTAAATATGTAACGATTTCCCTAAAGTAGATTCCCAGTTGAAACGCAATCCGAAGCAAAAGCGTCGCATAAAATTCTCAAGCTGTCAGAATAAGGAATAATTTCCCTCATTTTTTGGCATATTTAACATCAACGTACACCAAGTCACAGAGACACAAACACAACAAACAGTCGTTGTGTACTGGCTGCAGAATAAACGACGATCGGGCGAGTGAAGTAAAAGGACGTCATAAATTATCACTCTTCCATGTGGCTACTGGCTAGACCGCTTATAGATTTTCTGAGAAAATTTACGCGAATACTCTTGGCTTGCTTTGATGCCAGAGGGTAAAAGAGTTGGTAACTTTGTGCCATAAAGCTTCCATCCAACACCAGGCGCATCCCGATAGACGAAGATGTACAAACAAACGACGCCACATCATAACATAACAGTGATGTCGGCGCGAAAGAATAAGGTCTGATGTGGCCAGTCGCCGATTCTTGTAGTTTTCGTGACTTGCTCACAGGAGATCTAAAATCATGTCCTTTTACCGGATCTTTTCAAAACTGACGATAGTTAGAAATAGCTACTAGACTTCCACCGGGTTCAATATGGTGCAGATGAAAAGTGGTGCAATCATTGCTTAAGAGTGACTGGCATATTCTCCTTCCAGGACTCTTCAATAGACATAGTTTGTGATTACTGCTAAGCAATGCGAGATGATCACCGTAGTTTAGTTAATAATTATGAGCATCTCTTTCTTCTCCCAGGATACAATTGACAAATTCGGAACCTTGTTTGGCGAGTTTTTGTGTGTCTGGCGAATGATAAGAATGCATCCTGAACAAATTTCTGAATTAAAATATTAAATTGAGAATAAATCAGGCTGTAGCGTCGAAATGAGCCTCATAGTTGATCGACTGAACTTCTGCGTGAATATGAATTTTAGAAATTTCTTATTTTTTAACTTTTGCTGACGAAAAATATGTTCAAAATTTAGCCTAGTGATAAATTGAGCCCATAATTTCATTGAATTAGTGACGACGGATCTATCAAATTGGCGACTTTGGATCAGTTATTAATCCAGAAAAAAATAAATCTAAGTTCTGTGGAACTCTGACTCGACAGGATAAGCGAAACGATTATTTTAGCCGACCACGTGGCTGCATGAATTTTACGTAATTCGTTTTAATACGGATCTAATGAATTTCAATTTCATGTTTACAATAAATTTAGGAAATAAATTAACACAGTAACTATATAGACACACAATAAACTTAATGTATGGATCTTTACCTATAAATTTACAACACCAAAGCACGACAATGACACAGCTACTCTCGACTGCAATTGAACACGGACTGCCCAAGCTTCGCTCATCGGAAGTTCGGATGCATGCATGGAGCACTGCGCTTCACTGAGGCAATAAAATTGCAGTCCGGAAAGGCGTGTCACATTCTCACGCGAGGTCTTGGTGTTGGACCGAACGCATCACTCGTAGCTGCCGATTGAACTGGTGCTAGCGTGAACAAAGACTAATTTGTCTTTCAATGGGTTTTACTGCATTTAACGCAAGATTTGTAACACGCACAGTGCAATGGGTTATCAGTCGCTAATGTGTCTGCTGTGGAAAGTATTTTTAATATATAAATAAATTAGAGAATGAAATCCCAAAGAAGTATCTTAAGAGAAGTATATAGAAGCCCATTTTTTAATTTTTAATTTTATTTTATTTTCGTAAGTGCCGTTTCGTTTTTATTTTTTTTCGTTTATTCCCCATGTTTCTCTCATCCCACTAGTTCTTTCAACGCATAATCCAAACAATCTAGGTACAAATCGGGAAAAAAGCTTCCAAATTCGCTAGATATGGTTTTTACGAATCGAAAATGTATCTCTAAATGCTGTAGCTTGAAAATCATAGGCATAGATAGATTTTTAAGATGGCATACTCTGGAAATTTTGATTGTTCAGGGATCCAAATAATCAAAATTCATTGAAGAAAAGAAGACGATGATAAACGATTATTTTATAAAAATTCAAAAGAGCCTCAAGGAAAAATCATGACAGCTAGAACCTTGAGGTTTTGAGTTTTTTTGCCTCAGATTTGTAATAATTATCCCTACGAAATGAGATTAAAAGCACAGATAACGTAATTTCTTCGAGTTTAAAAGGATCCCACCACTTAAGTGACTACTGATAAAATCCTTGGATTTAAATTTTACGGTTCATTTATTTTTGGCCAAAACTAAATCTCGACGTCGCTTCTGAATAAAAAGAAACATTGTGACATTGAAGACCAAAATCAATTTCACTTCACTAAATGCGCTTAAAATATACTTCGTGTAATCAGAGCTCAACCGTTGGTATTGTAGTTATTTAGCTGTAATAGGTCTACCAATAAATTATTCTTCGTCAATGCAGATCTAATTCGAAGGACTAATGACTATAACAACTGCTAGTAAACAAATAATCAATCGTCGTAAGAATTTCGTAAATGAAGACCTAATAACTAAAGGTAACGTCTTTAAACAAAAGGTGATTAGACATAAAACACATTACATCAACGATTTTTCAATTGTTCTTCGTACCTATATAGACCTGGTAAGAGCAGTTGTCGTCAGCAGAAAACTGTTTAACAGTTTTCTTGTTATATAAACATAATCATCGCCACTAACCAAATGGAACCAGGTCAAGCTTGTTCCCGAGCCTGCGCAACACGTTGTTAGTGGAAGACTTCAGAGCATCAGGAACGAATTCTCCGTAGTCCAACATGGCGACCCTAGAAAGTGTCGATATTGTACTCTCAGTACAATATTAGTTTCATAAACAGGCTAACTACGGACATGAAAATATTTGATGAGCGACATGGACTTGATTGGTGTTCATGCTTAGTTGCTCACTGTTGCACGTTTAGTACGCACCTCAAACTTCGGAACCAATACAAACACAAAAGTAAAGGGAAGAAATTCTGCAATGCAATGAAAAGTTCTAGCGCATGCAAATAGACATTATTCATTCGCGTTATTTCAGATGGTACAACTTCTTAACGCGGTGCAGGCCCGCTTGGAAAAAATCTGGGATTTATAAAAAAATGAACATAGTGTGTGACTGCAACCATAATAATACCTGGTTTAAAACATGGGTAAGGTATTAACCGATAAATTGAACACGGCCAGAATAATATCATGTACAAGATCGGAAGAGTGCTTAAGATATTTGAACTTTTCATTATACGAAAAAGGGTATAAAAATGCGAAAAAAAGGAAACATTTTTCTTCACAGCTTACAAGCGTTTGTGAACGATGGAATAATCTAGCGTTCATTGATCTCTGATTCACATGCAACCCAAATAGGGCTAAAATCGTATAAATATATTCACTTGAAAAATGGTGTTAAAATATCATGTCTTGCTCGTTGCTCTCCCAGTATTCTTAACCGTACCTCAGTGGTGATTCAGCTAGCTGTTTAATGGTCTCTATCCTGACGGGGTAAAGCGGGACTGTCAGGAACGCAATGAGGTTTCCGTTGTACGCCGCGATGAAAACAACGCACCCCATGTACCAGACTGCCATCCACACTCGCCGCCACTCGCCCACTCCAAAAGTGGACAAATTCATGGATTGTGCCACCAGAGCTCCTCCGACCTGTCATGGATAAGTTCAACATTAAGGTTGCACCCACTTACGACTAAAGCCATTGTTTCATTTTAAGTGCATATTGTTCTTATTTGGTATCACCTACACGCAGTCAATTTTATATTCGAAACGTCCATATTTAATTTTTTTATTCTCATCTTGTTAATGGGTGAATGCGTCGAAAAATAATCACCCAAATATCCAAACTATAGCTACGCTTTGTTTCTGCGAAACTAATCAATTCATTTTTTTCAAAACCGGTGCTCTGCTCCCTGGGCTAAATACATTAGTAATCGTGCGACCACTGTCCGAAAAAGGTATTGTGATAAATATTGGTAAA